GGAGGTTTAGAGGGGGATCACAGATAGAGGGTTGAAGGGGGAGCATGCAGAACTGATGTGGAAGATAGGGTTTTACCAGTTAGGGAAATTCAGCACAGGTGGGGGTTGAGAAGATTGACAGTTTTTTCCAGAGGAGAGATGCGCAGCAGAGGAAATGGTGGTGCACATTACTTGGGAATGTTATTTTGTGAGGGAGGTTTGTCTAAGGATGTATGGGTTTGTTAGGAGGATAAAGTGGAGTAGAAGGGTTAGTTTTGTGATGGTCAAGTATGGAATAGTGAAGCAGGGTTCAGAGGAGTGGAGAAGGAGGATCTGGCTTACGTGTATAAAAGTAGTGTTGTGGAAGGTGCAGAATCTGTTGATCCTCAAAGGACTGGAATTCACAGTTGGAGCATGTCTGGGGTTGGCTCTGCTTGAACTACGATACTATATGAGGAAAAGGGTGTGGAAGCAGGTGGGGACTGAAGAGAGGTGGAGAAAGGAGGAATAGTGGCTTATGTTTCCTTAAGGGACATGCGATGGGGAAGGACAAATATGAGATATGGTGTTAGGTGTGTATAGTGGAGGAGAAGGGGTAGCAAAGTAGGTGAGGAACAGAGGGAGGATTGGGTTAAGGGTATCTTATAGATCGTAGGAAGAGGTTTTAGGGAGGGAGAGTGTTTATGTTCAGGGGGAGTTGATGCAACAGATGGTGGGAGTTGGGACAAGGACTGATGGAAAGGTATATAATTTTAGTTTTATATTTCTGGTTATTATGGTTTATCCTGGATCTTATAGTTCAGTATAATTGGGAGCAACCTTATATTTGTAATGATGAACAAAGCATTGTTTAAGAGTGGATCCACAAAGATATGTACCAGTAAGATAAAAATGATGATGTTTTATGTTTGATGTATAAATCTATGTGGTTGCTTGTATATTTGAAGTGGGAGGGTAGGGAGGGTGGATGTTATCTGAAACAAGGGAGTGGAGTAAAAGCTGTAAGTTGGATTTGAAAAATGTTGTTTTAAAGTTATTTGGATGCAAACAGTTTTAGGTTCATAGTGTGATATATGGGAGAGAGAGACATGTTTAAATTGCAGGGGATGTGATGTAAACAGATTCATGTTTTGGCGGATATGGAAGAAAGACACTTTTTGTTTAGTTTGTTTGGGGGGGATGTGATGTAAACAAAGTTATGTTCGAGTTGCATTATATACGGAAAAAAGATAAAATGTTTTGTTTTTTAGGGGGGTGAGTTATAAATAGTTACGGTTTCTTTTGAGCTATGAGAGATAATATATAGTGATAATATTGTTTTTAATGCTTTTATGAGGATATTTGTAATAAAAAAAATAATAATTCCCCTTCTGGCTTTGTCTTGGTTCACTTCTCTCTTTTGAGGGTCTCGGGCTATATGGAAGTAAAAACATATTCAACTTGCTTATGATATGATCACAGTTTTACACTCTTCTTTTACCTTGGTTTTATTTAAAATACTTTATCAGTATATTACTGAAAACAGAATTTTAGGTTATGCAGATATTTACTAACAATTTTATTGAAATTACTCTTTAACATGGCATTTACACACACACACTTATCATGTACACAGTCACATAGGATCCCCTAGGAAGTCTGCTGAAGAGGGAGCAAAAAAACAATATTCTTCTTTTCAGAGTTCTGCAACCACCTCCAAAAAGGTTGTTGCTAGGGCAGATCTATGGTTTTCACTGACTTGTAGGCTAAGGACAAAAGGTTCAGTCTATATAAAATTTAAGCCAAGGCTACAGAACTGAAGAATTATTTCCTTAAAAAGATCTCCGTACTGCTGAAGGGGAAAAATATTAGGACCAGTAGAAATCTCTAGAAATAGCTGATGTGGTCATTTACTGTCGTTTATCCTAAAAATCATCATAGGATAAAATTGTTTCTCCTATGATGATAACCTTTAGACCATTTAATCGAAGCTGTGGCCAAACATAGAAATAGAATCTGCCAAAGGTTCCATGTTTGCTTCCATCATCAAATAACTACGAAAAAATGGCAAGTTCCTAGCTGGTATGAGGTATTATCAATCCATAAAAGACTGAATTAAGACTAACAATACTGAGGGAGCAAAGTTACAGACTCCCTGATAAGCAAGACAGTTAGGCACGAGGTTAGCTTTAAGTATTTGTGTATATTCTATTGATGTTAATGGGAATTAAACACGTTTTGTTTTGAGGCTTTAGAGACCCATGAGATTACCAGAAGTTTGGGATTTCCACTGTGAAAGAGGGAGGTTGAATGCAAAGTCCATGTGCCCAGTACAAGCAGCATGAGAAACCCAGAAAGTAGTCCTTGGCCACTTGTGACTTCCACCACTGACTTCATAAGCTGTCGTCATTGAAAATATCCCTTGTCTTTTATCCACTGGGGACATCTACACAAGACGCTGACTGCTTAGTAGACTGATATTACTGTGCAGTAGCATCACATGGCATAACCTGAGACATGATGCTGCTGCACAGTATTATTAGGCTACTGCTCAGTAACATCACAAAAAAAGTGTCTGTTCACTGGCAGCACTGGGTAGTAACTCAGGTTACTGTGCATTTATTTAATACTTATATAAACATACTAAATACATTTCAATTACAACAACTTATTGACTGTGTAGTAGCAGCTTGTGTAGATGCTGCCACTGTAAATAAAAATAGGAGCAGCAGAAATGCTTGGCCATGTATAGATGGAACAAGTGGGGGGTGTGCACAACACTTTAAAGCAGGCTAAATGTTTTTGCACTGCTTTAATGGTGTCAGTGTTTTCACACCTCAGCAGCATATTGCACATTAATTCCAGCTGCTGTAGGAAATTCAGTGGTGTAATGCTCCTTAAATGACTTGGGGCGCAGCAAACTAAAACTCCTCAGAGGAGTTTTAGTTTGCTGCCCCTACAGCCGCAGAGCGAAGCACCAGGCTCCATGCAGCTCTGCAGGAAGCCCTGCAGGCAGACTTGCAGTAGCCCAGGAAGGCTGGCTCTGCCCAAGAAAAGTCTCCACCCCGCCCCCCCCTCACCCCCCCCACCAGCAG